AACTTACCTGTCGTGCGCCCCGTGGCACACGACGCGCCTCTCCGCACCTGCTCTCACTGCAGCCGCCCCTGACCTACCTGCGCCGACACATTGTAGCCGCTCTGCGGCTTTCTTCCCGCCCACCCCCTCCTCCTTTGTCTCCCTGCAGCCGTGGGGGGGAGGGTATGGGGGTGGCGGGTGTTGGAGCGTTGGGTCGTATCCTTCCCTTCCCCTCCTCCTCCTTTCGTTCCCACTGCTGCAGCTGCCGCTGGGGGGGAGGGCCTCGACATCCTAGTTGGGCCTAGGCTCCTAAGCCTAGGCCCTAGTTAAACTTGATCTCCTTCCTACTATTTTCTCATGGAATCAGAGCAGGTCCCCTCCTAGGGACTGTTTCTAGGGCCCACCGAAGCGCGCCCCGAGGCGCGCTTTCCTTTTTTTTTAGCGACCCTCCGTGTCGCCCCTAGCGGCCCGTTGCGCCGCCCTTACCTACGCGAGCCCGCCGCCCTTACGTCGCGGCCCAGCCGCCCTCACGTCGCGGCCCCGCCGCCCTCACCTACGCGGCCCCGCCGCCCTTAAGTCGCGGCCCCGCCGCCCTCACGTCGCGGCCCCGCCGCCCTCACGTCGCGGCCCCGTCGCCCTTGCCTACGCGGCCCCGCCGCCCTCACCTACGCGGCCCCGCCGCCCTCACGTCGCGGCCCCGCCGCCCTCACGTCGCGGCCCCACCGCCCTTGCCTACGCGGCCCCGCCACCCTCACCTACGCGGCCCCGCCGCCCTCACGTCGCGGCCCCGCCGCCCTCACGTCGCGGCCTTGCCGCCCTTGCCTACGCGGCCCCGCCGCCCTCACCTTCGCGGCCCCGCCGCCCTCACGTCGCGGCCCCGCCGCCCTTACTTCGCGGCCCCGCCGCCCTCACCTACGCGGCCCCGCCGCCCCACTTCGCGGCCCCGCCGCCTACGGTACCGGCCCCGCCGCCTATCCTCACCGGCCCCGCCGCCTACGACCGCCGAGCTGCCCTGCCGCCGAGCCGCCCAGCAGCCGAGCCGCCCTGCCGCCGAGCCGCCCTGCCGCCGAGCCGCCCTGCCGCCGAGCCGCCCTGCCGCCGAGCCGCCCTGCCGCCGAGCCGCCCTGCCGCCGAGCCGCCCGGGAGCCGAGCCGCCCAGCAGCCGAGCCGCCGAGCCGCCCAGCCGCCGGGCCGCCCTACTGCCGAGCCGCCCGACCTGCCCTGCCTGGTGAGCACAGCACCACTGTTACTGCGTGCCCTTCCCCTACTGCTTGCACTACTACACTGTCGTCGTCATGGCTACCCCTAGTGTCCTCGCTTTTGACGCTGAGGGTCGAGCCATTGACTTTGAGGTCTGGGTCGACGACCTGCAGCTGTTCTTACAGTGCGATAGGGCGGACGGTCTTTCCCTCTTTGACCTCACCTCTGGCGCCTCTCCTGCCCCTGCTGCTGATGCTGACCCCACTGTTCGCTCTCAGTGGGCCACCCGCGATGCTGCTGCACGTCTTGTTGTGCGTCGCCACCTGCCTACCACTGAGCGCGCGCACTTTAGTCAGTACAAGAGTGCTCAGACCTTGTACGACGCTGTAGTTGCGCGCTACTCTTCCCCTGCCATTGCTGCCCTGAGCCGCCTCATGCTACCGTACCTCTTTCCTGACCTTGCTGCCTTTCCCACTGTCGCTGACCTCATTACGCACCTTCGCACTAGTGACACTCGCTACTGAGTCCTCCCTTCCTGCACTTACCGACCCAGAGTCCGACTCTCTTCGTGCTGCTAGTCCTACTGTCACACGTCTCCTTGCTACTGTCGTCACTGACCCCTCTTTTGAGTCCACTGCTGCGTCTGCGCTTGTTGCTGAGCTCGTCGACTTTGCTGCTCGCTGTCGTCTAGACTACGCTGCCGGTCTTGTTGCTGAGTCTGCGTCTGTCTGTCCTCCGTCCGTCGGGGGTGAGTGTGCTCTTGGCACGGACGTCCTTGAGGACAGGCAGGAGGAGTTCCAGTGTCTGGCTGCTGCTTCACCTCATCTCGCGTCCGTACTACTTGCCCCTGAGGGAGACCCGGATGCACTAGACATCCCGACTCCGCGCTCTTACGCGGAGGCCGTAGAGGGTCCCTACTCCTCTCAGTGGCAGGCAGCTATGGATGCAGAGATGGCGTCCTGGAAGTCCACAGGCACCTACGTTGACGCGGTGCCCCCTCCTGGGGCGAACATCGTCAGTGGCATGTGGATCTTCAGGGTGAAGCGGCCGCCGGGCTCTCCACCTGTCTTCAAGGCGCGGTACGTCGCTCGTGGCTTCAGTCAGCGGCAGGGAGTTGACTACTTTCAGACCTTCTCTCCCACCCCGAAGATGACCACTCTTCGGGTGCTGCTGCACATAGCCGCTCAGCGCGACTACGAGCTCCACTCTCTTGACTTCAGCACTGCTTTCTTGCAGGGTAGCCTGCACGAGGAGATCTGGCTGCGCCGTCCACCTGGCTTCACTGGGACTTTCCCTCCTGGCACCCAGTGGAGCCTCCGACGGCCAGTCTACGGTCTCCGCCAGGCACCGCGTGAGTGGCACGACACACTGAGGACTACGCTTGCGGCTCTTGGGTTTGCTCCCTCTACTGCTGACCCGTCGTTGTTTCTGCGCACCGACACTTCTTTGCCACCGTTCTACATCCTCGTGTACGTCGACGACTTGGTCTTTGCCACAGCTGACACTGCTGGACTAGCCTACGTGAAGTCCGAGCTGCAGAAGAGACACACGTGCACAGACCTGGGTGAACTGCGCAGCTACCTTGGCTTGCAGATCACTCGGGACAGAGCACGCCGCACCATTACCTTGACTCAGTCACACATGGTGCAGCAGGTCCTTCAGCGCTTCGGCTTCACGTACTCCTCGCCTCAGGCCACTCCTCTGTCTACTCGCCACTCGCTCTCAGCTCTGCCTTCGGATGAGTCCGTAGAGTCGAGTGGCCCGTACCCAGAGCTTGTTGGCTGCCTCATGTACCTGATGACCTGCACACGACCTGACCTTGCATACCCTCTTAGCATTCTTGCACGCTATGTTGCTCCTGGGAGACACCGACCAGAGCACATGGCTGCAGCGAAGAGGGTGTTGCGCTACTTGTGCAGTACGTCGGGCATGGGGCTAGTGCTTGGAGGGCGGAGTCCAGTGGTCCTCACTGGACACGCGGACGCTTCTTGGGCTGACGACCAGGCTACGCAGCGGTCGTCGCAGGGTTACACCTTCAGTCTTGGTTCCGGCTCTGTCTCGTGGCGGGCTACTCGCTCGTCCTCTGTTCTCGGCTCCAGTTGTGAGGCTGAGATCTACGCCGGGGTCATGGCTGCACAGGAGCTTCGCTGGCTCACCTACCTGCTGACTGACCTTGGAGAGCAGCCTCGTTCTCCTCCAGTGCTGTACGTAGACAACAAGGCCATGCTGGCCTTGTGTCGAGAGCAGCGCTTGGAGCACAGAACGAAGCACATTGCTCTCCGTTACTTTCTTGCTCGTGAGCTGCAGCAGCGTGGTCAGTTGCGACTTGCGTACGTGGCCTCTGAGGCCAACACTGCTGATGTGTTCACCAAGGCACTTGCGCCTTGTGACCATCAGCGCTTCTGCACTCAGTTGGGTCTTGTACCTGTCTTGCCTCACTTGCTCTCCTCTTGACCTTGCTTGTACTGTCACATATATATACCTGCTCTTGCTTGTCTAGCTCTATATATATATGTGTACTCCTGCATGTGAACTGGCCTTGTGGCCTTGTCGTTGTGCTCGGACTGTGTGGTGACTTTGTGATCCACCCTGAGCTTGCTGTGCTTTGCGTGACTGGTCTTGTGACCCCTTGTTCTCCCCCACTTTGCCTATGGGGGTGTGTCAGAACATTATATAGCTTATGCTGTTGTGTAGGCTATAGTGGGGTATCCCATAGGGGGTACAACCCAATTAGGGTTTCCTATATGTACTCACTTCATTCATAGTTCATCCATTCGCGTTCTCCTTCTCACAATTCTGACATGGTATCAGAGCGGTCTCGGGTTCGATTCCCGGTGTATGCACATGTAGGCCGTTGCCGCTGTGCTTAGTCCTGGGCCTCCCAGTGTGGGAGGGTGTCAGTAGAACTGCACTGTGGATGCCCGATTGATCCTGGAGAGGGTTACAGGCGCGTTCGCCTGGGGGGTTATGGGCGCAGTGACCCGCTACTGAAACAAGCCCTTTTATCCCAATGGTCTAGTGGTTGGGATTCTGACATGATACAAAATTTCAAGGTTCGCTAAAGTACTACTATGACAGGACCAGTGTTCAGAAGTCGTTTAAACTGAAATCACTGGGACCAGAATGTGACAAGTCTGAAATCACCCTGAAATCAGGGTCCCTGATAAATTCAGCCCTGTTCATCCTTATAATCAGGGTATCGGGGTAAGTTACACTGATAAAATAGGCCTTGCTCGCATCGCCTTCGGCTCTTCCTTTGTCCAACCTGTATGCAGCCTCGTTTCCTAAGCTTCCCGAGCCAGTATTCCTGCTACTTTCTATCGTCATTTTGCTTGGTTTGTTAGTTCATTAAATTTCACACTGCTATAAATAAATAATTTAGCTTAGCTTGTTTGATAACTCCTAGAATACACTTTGTAGCTTCATGTTAAATGTCGTTGCCTATAGACGAGTAAATCGGGCCGGCCGTGCATTATTGCGCCGAGCCCTGCTAGATCTCGCCATCCATGAGCTGGCCTTCAATTGGCACATCGTCGCATTCTTCAGCGCACCAATCACGATGGCTGGCCGACCATCCCAGCTTGACATCCGAACAGGCGCACTCAGGCTAGCCAGTCACGCACCGATTCACACTTCTGCTCTGCACTTTTCCCAGGCCCGCGTGTAGCTGCTGCAGGGGCGCGCTGAAAAGAGAGGCCACAATAGTTATCGAGAGAGCGGCAGTGTGCGAGCAGGCGTTCAGAATCCACACCAGGGCTGTCAAGCACACCCGCGCCCTTCCCACACACGAGCCTTCCCACAGAAGAATCGCGCTTCCCCCCATGGAGGCAGCGCTGGGCTGTCGCGTCCGTCCGCGCGCTGCGGTTGGCTGTGTGCCACAGGCGGCCTGTCGTTGTCCGTCGGCCCGGTCTGCTCGCGTTGCAATGCATCCGCTGCAGCCGCGTCGCCACCTGCTCGGCGCGAACAGCTTGCGCCGGCCTCGCGTGTCCGCCGGACGGCGGCTGCCCCACCCCCCGCCGTCCCGCGCCCCCAGAGCGGCGCTCGTCGCGGAGTCGGCTTCCAGCGAAAGCAGGGACGATGTGACTGTAACGGGCGATGCAGAGGAGCAGCTGAGAGCGTCCGCGACGGAGGGGGGCGCTGAGGAGGCCGGGGCGTTCGAGTGGAGCCGCGCGTGGTACGCCGTGGGCGTGGCGTCCGACATGGACGCGGCTCGCCCGCACGCCGTCACCGTGGTGGGCCGCCCGCTCGTGCTCTGGCGCGACGCCGCGGGGTCGTGGCGGTGCTTCCTCGACCAGTGCCCCTCTCCGAGGTCAGCCTGCCCGCCCCGCCGCCCCGCCTCCCATCTCACCTTTTTCCATCCCTCCTATTCCCATCGGACCGTTTCGCAGCGCAGCAATTCATATAACTCCCCACTCCCAATAGGTCAAAAACGGGCGCAGCGTATGCCCCCACCCCTTGGTGTAAGCCCGCAGGCGTTACGTGTCGGATCGCATCTGTTCCCGCCTCACCCACCTCGACCTCACCTCCTCTCACCCCCCCCTTCCTTCCCCCCCCTCCCCTGCCAACGACCACAGGGCCGCATAGACGCGGAGGGGCGGCTGGCGTGTTCGTACCACGGGTAGGTGTTCGCAGGCAGCGGCGCGTGCCAGCTCATCCCGCAGGCCGCCCCGGAGCAGCCCGGCCAGGCCCCCCGCGCCGTGTGCTCCCCGCGCGCCTGCGCCACTGCCTTCCCCGTGAGGGAGTTCCACGTGAGTGCCAGGCGGGGAGGCCCGGGATGGCGAGGGAACTCGCAAGGTAGGGAGTGGCAGAGTCACATCCACTGCCGCCCCACCACTGGCGGGTGGCTGCTCTGCTTGCTCGCGTGCATCCACGCAGGCGGCAGCAAGTGGTTGGGGGGGCGAGGGCAGTAGGGGTGGTGGAGGGAAGCAACGACACCCCCCTGTGCCGCACCTCGTTGCCGAGTGGCAAGCCAGAGGGTGAAGCGACCCTTCAGAGGCGGATTTGTGCTTCGCAGAAGTTCACCCAACGTGCTGTTGCATGCAAGCTAATCGCTCCCCATTCACCTCGTTCGCCTCCATGCACGCCAGCCACCCCTTTCCCCCCCCTCCCCCTCCCGACCTCCCAGGGAGTGCTGTTCGTGTGGCCTGACGAGCACTCACCACAGCAGGCGGAGGCGATGCCGCTGCCGCTGCCGCACGGGGTGGAGTGGGATCAGTACGACGCGCTGCCGCACTACACGCGGCGCCTGGCGTACGGCTACGAGGTGCTGGCGGAGAACGTGGTGGACCTCTCCCACTTCCCCTTCGCCCACCACGGCGTCGGCATGACCACCCGCGACCAGGGCAAGCCCGTCAGCGACACGGCATGAAGCAACTCGTGCGTGGCGCGGGGAGGGGGGGGGGGGGGAGGGGTGGGTGGGCAGGCAGCAACTCGTGTGTGGCACGGGGGTGTGTGACACAAGGGTGTGTGGCACAAGGGTGTGTGGCACAAGGGTGTGTGGCACAAGGGTGTGTGGCAGAAGGGTGTGTGGCACAAGGGTGTGTGGCACAAGGGTGTGTGGCACAAGGGTGTGTGGCACGGGGATGTGGTTTGCTCATGCGAACATTCAGAGAGCCGCGCACATCATGCAGCCCCACACACACTCACACTCATGCTCACATGCAGCCAGCCCATCACAACTTATGCTCATGCTTGTGCTGCCTGCACTGCTCTCACCCTGCCTGCACTGCTCTCACCCTGCCTGCACTGCCCTCACCCTGCCTGCACTGCTCTCACCCTGCCTGCACTGCTCTCACCCGGCCTGCACTGCTCTCACCCTGCCTGCACTGCTCTCACCCTGCCTGCACTGCCCTCACCCTGCCTGCACTGCTCTCACCCTGCCTGCACTGCCCTCACCCTACCTGCACTGCTCTCACCCTGCCTGCACTGCCCTCACCCTGCCTGCACTGCCCTCACCCTGCCTGCACTGCTCTCACCCTGCCTGCACTGCTCTCACCCTGCCTGCACTGCCCTCACCCTGCCTGCACTGCCCTCACCCTGCCTGCACTGCTCTCACCCTGCCTGCACTGCTCTCACCCTGCCTACACTGCTCTCACCCTGCCTGCACTGCCCTCACCCTGCCTGCACTGCTCTCACCCTGCCTGCACTGCTCTCACCCTGCCTGCACTGCTCTCACCCTGCCTGCACTGCTCTCACCCTGCCTGCACTGCTCTCACCCTGCCTGCACTGCTCTCACCCTGCCTGCACTGCCCTCACCCTGCCTGCACTGCTCTCACCCTGCCTGCACTGCTCTCACCCTGCCTGCACTGCTCTCACCCTGCCTGCACTGCCCTCACCCTGCCTGCACTGCTCTCACCCTGCCTGCACTGCTCTCACCCTGCCTGCACTGCTCTCACCCTGCCTGCACTGCTCTCGCCCTGCCTGCACTTCTCTCACCCTGCCTGCACTGCTCTCGCCCTGCCTGCACTGCTCTCACCCTGCCTGCACTGCCCTCACCCTGCCTGCACTGCCCTCACCCTGCCTGCACTGCTCTCACCCTGCCTGCACTGCTCTCACCCTGCCTGCACTGCTCTCACCCTGCCTGCACTGCTCTCACCTGCCCTTGAATGCCTCTGCACTGCCCACCAGCAGGGCGTGAAGGGCTTCGAGGGGCCCATCCACGTGTTTGGCTTCCCCACGTACCTCCACTTCCAGGCGCCCCAACTCGTCACCATGAGGTACAAACACCATGAGGTACAACACCATGAGGTACAACACCATGAGGTACAACACCATGAGGTACAACACCATGAGGTACTAAAGACAACACCATGAGGTACAAAAGACAACACCATGAGGTACAAAAGACAACACCATGAGGTACAAAAGACAACACCATGAGGTACAAAAGACAACACCATGAGGTACAAAAGACAACACCATGAGGTACAAAAGACAACACCATGAGGTACAAAAGACAACACCATGAGGTACAAAAGACAACACCATGAGGTACAAAAGACAACACCATGAGGTACAAAAGACAACACCATGAGGTACAAAAGACAACACCATGAGGTACAAAAGACAACACCATGAGGTACAAAAGACAACACCATGAGGTACAAAAGACAACACCATGAGGTACAAAAGACAACACCATGAGGTACAAAAGACAACACCATGAGGTACAAAAGACAACACCATGAGGTACAAAAGACAACACCATGAGGTACAAAAGACAACACCATGAGGTACAAAAGACAACACCATGAGGTACAAGAGCATGAGATGCAACACCATGAGGTACAAGAGCATGAGATGCAACACCATGAGGTACAAGAGCATGAGATGCAACACCATGAGGTACAAAAGACAAGAGCATGAGGTACAAGAGCATGAGATGCAACACCATGAGGTACAAAAGACAAGAGCATGAGGTACAAGAGCATGAGATGCAACACCATGAGGTACAAAAGACAAGAGCATGAGGTACAAGAGCATGAGATGCAACACCATGAGGTACAAAAGACAAGAGCATGAGGTACAAGAGCATGAGATGCAACACCATGAGGTACAAAAGACAAGAGCATGAGGTACAAAAGACAACACCATGAGGTACAAAAGACAAGACCATGAGGTACAAAAGACAACACCATGAGGTACAAAAGACAAGACCATGAGGTACAAAAGACAACACCATGAGGTACAAAAGACAACACCGTGAGGTACAAGAGCATGAGATGCAACACCATGAGGTACAAGAGCATGAGATGCAACACCATGAGGTACAAAAGACAAGAGCATGAGGTACAAGAGCATGAGATGCAACACCATGAGGTACAAAAGACAAGAGCATGAGGTACAAGAGCATGAGCTGCAACACCATGAGGTACAAAAGACAAGAGCATGAGGTACAAGAGCATGAGATGCAACACCATGAGGTACAAAAGACAAGAGCATGAGGTACAAGAGCATGAGATGCAACACCATGAGGTACAAAAGACAAGAGCATGAGGTACAAAAGACAACACCATGAGGTACAAAAGGCAACACCATGAGGTACAACAGACAACACCATGAGGTACAAAAGACAACACCGTGAGGTACAACACCGTGAGGTACAACACCGTGAGGTACAACACGGTGAGGTACCACCCCTGCCTTATCATGCAATCGTGATTATATACGAGACAATTTACTTCCTATTGAATTTGATCCTGCTGCTTCAAGTCAAAGGTGATGGCGACCTGCCCTTTCTCCCCCCTCCCTCTCTCATTTTCCCCCTTCCCTTCTATTTTCCTCCCCCCCTTCTCCCCTCCTCCCTTCCCCTTCTTCCTCTGTCGCCCTTGCAGGCCACGCCCCCCCAAGTTTGCTTTGCTGCCGAGGAAGCCGGAGGACACATACGCGCCCAACACGTACCTGCTGCTGCTCTACATCACGCCGTGTGCGCCGGGCAGCAGCCTGGCCGTGCAGGTGCAGCTGGTGAGGCGCGGCGACGGCAAGAAGCTGCCCTCCGTGCCGCGCTGGATGCTGCACCTCCGCCAGCACCAGGTGTTTGATGGTGAGTGGAAGAGGGAGATGAAGAGGGATGAGAGGAGTATTTTACGCTTTTGAATGGCTCTCTTCTCAGCTGCTTTCGCCCTTTTCATGTTGAGAGAGCAGCAGCTGTCACTTGTAGGGCCTCAGCTCGGTCATTGTTTGTCACAGCCCCGTCTGCTTGCCGCACAGCTATGATGGCAGATACGCTTGGGGAGGGGTACCATATCCCATATGTTCTCTTGCGAATGCATGCAATAGGCTTCGAATTCGGTAGATTACACTTCGCGAGTTGTTTCCTCGATCTCGCACACCACCCATCTCCATCCACAAACCACCCCTCTCAACCTCCCAAACCCCCTCCCCCCCCTCTCCCCCACCAGGTTTTTTCCCACCGAATTTTTGTGTATTAGCGAATAGAGTATATACGCTTGCGTATGAAACGGGAAACGCGTATTTGCCATCATAGCCTCACAGCCTTCTGCCTGCCCCCCTTTGTGTCTTTGCCTTGGTTTCCCATCCCCTTTTGTGTCTCTACCCCTTGTCACATCACGGCGGTGCCATGTGTGGCCCACGCCGTGCCCACCAGGCGACTCCTACTTCCTGCACTGCCAGGAGCGAGTGCTGCAGGCGAGGGAGCAGCAGATGGAGAAGGCTCGGGCGAGCAAGGGCGAGGCACAGCCGGGCGGAGGTGCCATGGAGGGTGGGCGAGGTGAAGCGGGGGGCGCAGGGGTGAAGGGCAGCGCGTGGAGGGCGTTCTACATGCCCACCAACGCTGACCTCCCTGTCGTTGCCTTCCGCCAATGGCTCTCCAAATACGCAGGTTTTAACATGCAAGGGTGTGCCATGTCTGAGTGGTTGCTTCTTCATGAGAGAAAGTGGTTGTATCTCTTACTAAGATCGTCTTTCGAGCCATTCTTGCTTGGAACATTATGTGTCTGTGTTGTCTAGTTATCACGGATGTAGACAGTGTCTGCTGGTTTGCTTGAGGCAAGAGAGGTTGAGGATGGCCAATTCACCACAGTGTGCGTGTGGGCTAACTACCTCAGGAGGCTAGTTATATATTCCAAGCGTCAAGTATTTTGTTCTCATAATGGTATCTTCCCTATCATGCAATACAGGTTTCTTTGTTTATTTCGAGCCTTTTTTTTGGTTCGTCTGGCTCGACTTGGCTTTTCCTGTGGTCCCAACCCCTTGCTGTGTGCCATCCCTTCTTGTTTTGCATCTTACCACCACCTCTTTCAACCCATGCTGCCCTGCGCCAGGTGGAGCCGTGGCGTACCCGCCTCCCTTGGCAGGCGTGTTACTGCCCCCCCAGCCGCCCCCCAAGGAGCAGGTGTTGGAGCGCATGGCCTCCCACACCGCGCACTGCACCGCCTGCTCTGGTGCCCTCACCAACGTGCAGCGCCTCCAGCTGCTTCTGCCAGCCGTCTCGCTGCTCTCTGCTGCTGCTGCTGTCGCCTCCGCCTCCCTGCATGCTCACCTGCCACTTGCTGTGCTGGCCCTGGCGGCTGCTGCGGCAGCGTGGAAGGTGCAGGAGGTGGCCAAGGAGTTTGTGTACACGGAGTGGGACCATGCCACGAGGGATTGAAGTCAGGATACCAGGTTATGCAGTCACGTGGGCCATGCTTGCACTTTTAAAATCGAGGAGGGCTCAGAAGCCTTCTTTCATTCGTGTGTTTGCGCTTCAAGTAATCGGCTTGCTGGAACTTGGTGGGGGTGGAAGCGAGGGACGTAACGCCAAGTAAAAGAATCACCAGAACAGGACATACAAGGGGGGTATATGGAGTGTCTGAGCCCTCTATAGAATAGTCTGGTTTGTTGGTGCATCATTGGATGGTGGCATGTTGACCAGTTCTTCAGGCAAGTCAAAGGGGACAATCCGCGAGGAATTTCTCCTGCTGCTTGCGACACATGGTGAACTCGCTGCTGTAGTAGTCCATGCACTTGACGTACGCCTCCATGCTCGCTGGACACTGCCCCTGCAACGACTTCAGCCTGCACACAGCATGGGCGGAAACGAAAGGGGAAAAAGGGGGGTGGGTCGGGGAGAGGAAGGCCGCAGGTTGGAAGAAGTGGGGTATGAGATTGTCAAGTCAATACTGGGGTCAAAATGGTACATGTACATTCATGAGCAGAGGGCGCACAGCACATGGGCATGGAGTGCGGATGGCATTTCAGTGCAAGGACAGTGAATTAGTGATGCACAACCGCGCGAATACAGCACGGCGCTGAGGCAGCACAGGCTGAGATGAAAGCAGTTTAACTGAGAGCAGGAGGCAGGCGGCAAGAGGGCAAGGGGGCAAGAGGGCAAGGGGGCAAGAGGGCAAGGGGGCAAGAGGGCAAGGGGGCAAGAGGGCAAGGGGGCAAGAGTGCAAGTGGGCAAGAGGGCAAGGGGGCAAGGAGAGGCCAAGAGGGCGAGAGGGCAAGAGGGAAAGAGGGAGGAACACACAGGAAATCGATAGAAGAGGAGCAGCAGCATGTGACACATGGTGTGGGGGGGGAAAGCTGAAGCGGGCCACGAGATAGCATGGTTGGTGGAAGAGAACAAGCAAGAGCCACGGGCGGCTCATTCAGCCACAGACCGCAATTCCTGAACCCACTGGTCCGCATTTAGATCGGCTCAGCAAACCGTAGTCGACATCCGGCAAACCCTAGCCCAAGAAGATAGCAAGGAGAAAGATTCTTCAAAGCAAGGAATGCCAGCAGCAAGCGAAGACGTACAGTGCACGATGGCGGATGCCTCACGCTGACTGATAGACCTAACGAGGTGCAGCGGAGTTGATCGGCGGGCACAGCGGATCGAACAGAGAGGCGGAGGCGGCGCGCGGAGCACTCACAGGTTGAGCACGCATCCCGTGACCTGCGCGCCCTGCTGCAAACACTTTTCGGGATTCTCGTCCGCACGCTTGCACTCCAGGAACGCGCGATTCTCAGCGGCGCAGCTCTTGGCAATGTGTCTCGATGCTGACATCAGCACGGCTGACGTGGCAACCGGAGTATCGTCCGACATGATAGAGTTGCAGCAGCCTGTTCTCAACCCGATCTGGATACGCGAGGAAGAAAGATGGCGATGCACAGAAAGGGGCGAGCGGCTGCAGCGGTCGGTGACCGTGCGCGGACGATGGAAGGCGAGAGAAGCACAAACAGGACGTGATAATAGGCTCCTCCTAAAACACAATGCCTACAAAACACAACCGTTCTTGCCCGTTACAACCTAATGGTATTCCACACTTCGCGCGTCACCTTTACCAAACCATGCATTGGCCTACGCTTAGGGACTTATTTTCTTGCATAATTCTCAATTCTTTCTTACGAGTAGGATAATTAACAAGCTGAAGCACTACTGGCTTTTTTGGGTTGCGTAGCAACCCTCTATATTTGGTTTCACATTTTGGGGGATGTCATTTCAATAGTGATGTTTAAACACTCTTTGGAGCACCCGTTTGAACGTTCAGAAACTGTGTTCAAATAGATGTCTCACATAGTAAATAAAAAACACCCTTACATGAGATATCCATGAATGTGAAACCAAATATGAACGTCCGTTATGTTGAAACCATGAATTTGCTCGACGGTCCCAGCATTATCGATAAACACGGCAGATGGTAGGGGGAGTATCATATTCAAGCATCAACATGAACGAGTGCGATTGTACAAATGATGAACAAGGTATGAGGTGGTGTGGATACTTCAAGATGAATGTTAAAATGCATCATGTTGTCAAATATAATAGTTATAAGCTGTAGTGGGTTGCATTCTAGAGGGTACAGATGCTAGGGTTTCCTATTTGTATCCAACACTTTGCTAGTTCATTCATTCCGTTGTTGACTAACTCTGAGATGGTATCAGAGCAGGTGTCGATCCTCTCGCCTAGCCTAGCCTAGCTCGCGCCCTAGCGCCCTCCGCGCCCTTGCGCCCTCTGCGCCCTTGCGCCCTGCGCGCCTTAGCGCCTTCCGCGCCCTCCGCGCCTTAGCCTCCACGCCCTCCGCGCCATCTCCGCGCCTTAGCGCCCTCCTCCTCCGCGCGTTAGCGCCCTCCGCGCCCCTAGCCTACGCCCCTAGCCGTCGTCCAGGCCCACGCCCTAGCCCGACGCCCAGGCGCCCGCCCTAGCCCGACGCCCAAGCGCCCGCCCTAGCCCGTCGCCCAGGCGCCCGCCCTAGCCCGACGCCCAGGCGCCCGCCCGAGCCCGTCGCCCAGGCGCCCGCCCCAGCCCGTCGCCCAGGCGCCCGCCCCAGCCCGTCGCCCAGGCGCCCGGCCCAGCCCGTCGCCCAGGCGCCCGGCCCAGCCCGTCGCCCAGGCGCTCGCCCCAGCCCGTCGCCCAGGCGCCCGCCCTAGCCCGTCGCCCAGGCGCCCGCCCTAGCCCGTCGCCCTGGCACCGCAGCAGTTCCAGCAGTGGGGGCCCCCGCTGCAGTGGGGTCCGCAGCAGCACTGGGGTCCCCCGCCGCAGTGGGGTCCGGGAGGACCAGGGAGCACCGGCCGCAGCGGCAGCGCTTCCAGCTGGGCCCCTCGCCCCCCTCGCGGTGACACTGGCCCCTGCACCCACTGGTGCCTCACCGGACCTGGTAGCCCCTGTCTCTGCGGTCGTGAGGACCACTCTGCCGCGCGGTGCTTCCGCCGCCTCGACGACCTCTACCGTGCTCGTTGGGGCCCTACGGCGACCACGCCTCGCTGGGCTCGCCTGTTAGCCCGTAAGATTGATGTGTTTGATCTGTCCATGGACGATGCTCGTCAGCATGCTCTGTATGCTGATGTTGACTATAGTGCTGATGGATCTGTGTGCTCGTGTGTTCGTAGATTAGCTTGCTTGTGCCTTTCTAGTCTAAGTGCTTGTGTTGCTGCTCTTGGTGCTTGTGTAGCCACTAGGACAGGTGACCCTCCGGCTGAGGCGTCCCTGTCCTTCACGCTAGACTCTGGTGCGTCTCAGTGCTTCTTCCGCGACCACACGACCCTCACGCCACTCCTCACTCCTGTTTCGGTGGCTCTGGCTGATCCTACCTCAGGACAAGCCGTTGCGCGTAGCTCCACTACCCTCCCGTGTCCTGTGGTCCCCTCTGGTGTCCTGCGCGGCCTCCACATCCCCTCGTTCACTCGGAACTTGGTGGGTGTTGGCTATCTCCAGGACAGGGGGATCACGGTTACCTTTGTGGGGGGTGGGAGGACTGCAGTTTGTACAGACGCTGCCACAGGTGCTGTTCTGGCCACGTTCACCAGGGAGCCCCACTCCGGTCTCTACGTTCTCCACACCGAGCACTCCCCGGTTGCGTCCTCCGCTCAGGTCGTTGCGTCCCCTCCAGTCCAGGTGTCCCGTCCGGTTGCTGTGTCTAGCCAGGTGGTCGTGTCTTGTCCAGTTGCAGTGTCTAGTCAGGTTGCGCTGTCTAGTCCAGTCGCTGCATCCTGCTCCTATCGGTCCCTCACCCACCGGACCGTCTTGTGGCATCACCACCTTGGCCACCCGTCGATCCCCCGCCTCCGCGGGATGACCAATCATGGGCTTGTCACCGGTCTCCCACGCAGCTTTCCGTCGCTCCCCACCTCCCGTGCTCCCCCTTGCACTCCTTGCGTCGCCGGTCGCTTACTCGCCGCTCCCCACTCCTCCTCCCTTCGTCTAGCCACTGCTCCCTTCGAGACCCTCCACTTGGACGTATGGGGCCCTGCCCCGACGCAGGGTGTTCTGGAAGGGAGCGTAACTTTCTCGTGGTCGTCGACGACTTCTCCAGGTACACCACATTGTTCCCCCTCGCGAAGAAGTCCGAGGTGTCTGCTACGGTGATCCGGTGGCTTCTGGCCACTGAAGGCACTCGTGGTCGTCGTGTTAGTTGTCTACACTCCGACCGTGGGGGCGAGTTTCGCTCCGGCGTTCTTGCCGGATTCTGCGGCGAACAGGGCATCGTACAGTCCTGGACGCTTCCGGAGTCCCCACAGCAGAATGGGGTTGCTGAGCTCCGCATTGGCTTGGTCATGGACATTGCTCGCACGTCCATGATCCATGCACGTGCGCCCCATTTTCTGTGGCCCTACGCGGTTCGCTACTGAACCTCCAGCCGCATGTCTCACGGCCCGAGGCTTCACCGACCAGTCTTTGGACCGGGTCCCCTGGTGTTGGGTCGGACTTTCGTGTCTGGGGCTGCCTTGCGCTTGTTCGCGACACCTCCGCGGACAAGCTCTCGGCACGCGCCGTCCCCTGTGTCTTCCTTGGTTTCCCGGTGGACTCTGCCGGCTGGTCCTTTTACCACCCTTCCCTCCACCAGTTCCTAGACTCCTGTGACGTCCGGTTTGACGAGTCTGTGTCCTACTACACCCGGTACCCCTGTCGAGGTCTCCCAGTACCCCCTCCCCCCCTCCTCCTCGCACCCGCTCCTCCGGTACCCCCACCCACCCCTGGTCCTACCCCGTCTGGTGTGTTCCACGCTACCCCTCTACCCTCAGTCGCGCGTCAGGTTGCGTCTCCCTCCCCGCAGTCCTCCTCACAGTCCCCTCAGCAACCTTCGGCACTTCCGCGACAGGTTCCTGTGGACTCGGTTGGTGTTGGAGCTGGAGGTGCAGCTGCTGGCAGTGCTCGGTCAGGGGGTGCTCGTTCAAGGGGTGTTG